AACTTATCGAATCGGCAGAATAATCATTCGGATTAATTTTTTGCCAGGTGTCCCAGGAATAATGATAACAGCTGTAATAAAGCATTATAAAAAAATATCGACCGGATCGGTTGATCCCCGGATTGGACTCGGATCTTTTACGAAACACTATCAGGTGCTAAATTCAAACTTCAGTTACGTATATGTAATTATCACAAAAATATCATTTGCAAAGTTAATTTATTTTTCATACGTACAATGCGTGAAACATTTAATTTTTAGTTACCCTGGTGTAATCAGTTTTATTCAATGAGAACGATATTTGAATTCAACTGTCACACAAAATAAGATCAATGAAAATAAGAGATGATATAAAATTGAAACAAAAAAGGAGGGGGAAAGATATGACAACAATTGTATTAGAAAATTTGTATAACATTGTGTTGCAGACTTTTTTTTGCCTACTTTTTTTGAATTAAGATGAATTATTTAGCTAGCATTTAGTAGTATCTAGTACTTCGCATAAATAAATTAATTTAATTCTGACTTTAGTGCCTTTTTTTTTTCATTTAACATTTTTTTTTTGAATCAGAAACAAAAAAAGGAAAATTAAGTATATTAAAGATCAAAATCGTGCATACCATACGTACCATTTTCCATCATTTTACATAATAGACAACGACAATATCTAAATTAATTTAAATTAATTTACTACTGTATATTTTAAGTTTGAGAGAAGTTCATCATACGTGTGCTTTTTATAAAAAGGTTCGTTGCATCTAAGAGTCGACTGTACAATATAATTTTTCGAGTGACTACTAGCGCTAGAACTAATGTGTACAATGATTCTTAAAAAAATAAATTGTCTCGTGCTAAACCAAAACGGAAAGGAAACTAATTATGCGTGTACATCTAACAATATTAACTTTTTGGGGAAACAAAATGAGTCATTTTTGGAAACCACTAATGAGAAAGTGTGAACAATATATGACATTTATGTAGAAGAATATTGTTAAATAGATATACCACGGAAGAATTTTTTAATTAAACTTATCTTTTTTAAATTAGTGGAATTATTTGAAATATTTAAAATAGTAGTAAAAAACGAAAGCAATGGCCTCAACACAATCTGTCAGTATAAACGATATGGGTGATCCTTTGAGACCGTACGTACCGACCAATGAAACTCCAGACGAAAAACGTAAACGTGTAAGTTCAGAAAAACAAGCAAAAAAACGTAGTGAGGCTATTGATAAGCAATTAAAAGCCGAAAGGGAAGAAAGGGAAAAACAAAAAATGGCGAAGTTACTATTACTAGGTTAGCAAAGTTAAAAAAAAAAAAGAAAACAAAAAAAACCTACTATATATTATCTCATTCAAAATTCATGTTTTCTACATAGGTTCTTCGGAAAGTGGAAAAACGACCGTTCTTAAGCAACTAAAAATTATTCATGGTCGTGGGCTTTCAGACGAACGTCAACGGTACCGCCGTATAGTTCACCTTAACGTACTTACAGCAATAAAGGCTCTGGCAAATGCACTTATAACTTTTGGATATCCTATTAAACCTGAAAATCAACAACATTTAGATAGAATTGTCAATTTGGCCGCGATAAAAAATTCATTGAATCGTAATTCTATCACCGTTCAAGCAGCAATCAAGAATCAACAATTGGACGATAATTCACAGGATATATTCATGGAAAATATGAATTCTGTTATAGCTTTATGGAATGACCCTTCTGTCAAAAAATGCTATAATTCTGCGAGTGAAATTGGATTACAAGATTCTGCAAAATAGTAAATATTTTCATGCAACTTAATTACGTATAAATATGTAAAAATATTATGAAATATAATATTTATGATATTTCATTTTACCAAGCTTTTTAGATAATGTAGAACGGTTTGGTAAAAGTGACTTTTTACCGACTGATGAAGATATTCTTCAAGCTCGCATAAGAACGGTTGGTGTCGCTGAACATAAATTTGAAATAGCAGATGTGATATACAAGTAAGCTTGTGTTTCAGGTTGTTTTTTAAATAAATCATGGTCACTAATGGTATCTCTAAATTTTAAGAATTTATGATGTTGGCGGCCATCGTTCTCAACGTCACTTTTGGGCGTAAGTTATTTTTATAAATTTTATTTTGGTCTAATTACTCAATTTGAAATTTATCTTCTAATTCTTTTAAATTATGATTTATTTCTATATAAAAACTAGTCCTTATTTTGATGATGTTAATGCTATCATTTTCATGGCTGCTATATCAGCATTTGACCAAACATTAGAGGATTCTGATATGAATCGCATGATTGATTCTATTCAGTTATTTGAAGAAATATGTAATAATCCATTGATGATAAACACCCACATTATTTTATTTCTCAACAAGATTGATATTCTGAAACAAAAACTTGGATATATTAATGTAAATGACTATTTTTCTGAATATCAAGGTTTGTAAAATTTAAATTACTGTATTTGTTTCGTTATCATATGTAATAAAAATAAATAACATATATAATTTTTCTTTTTTGAAACAGGGGATAACAAATTTCAATCTGTTACAGCTTTCTTTAAACGCAAATTTTTGGCTCGGAATCATAATGATGAAAAACACATTTATGTTCATTTTACGCATGCGACGGTGAGTTCTTTATATTTTATTAACAGATAAATGACGATCATTAATGTTTTTTTTAATGTATTCAAATAAATAGGATACAAAGCAAATGCGCGTTATCGTGGCTTCGGTAAATGATATTGTTCAAAGGATGAATCTCAAAGCATCTGGTCTTATTTGAAATGAACTCTGCATATAAATACTTATCTTTGACGAGATTCCGTATTTTATTTTATAAATGTTTATTTATTATAATAATATTATTTTTATTATTTTTTCTTTGTAATTTATAAGACTGATATTTACATAATCATATAATTATTTTCTGTTTACATTTTGGGTGGGTTCAAAATTAACGTATGCTAAACCTAATTTTGAGCATAAAATAAATACGTTGATTCGTATAATAATTATAATAACGAATTATAAAATAATAATTTATCACCCATTTTGTCAAACAACATTTTTAGATGTAAAAAAAACTCTCAAAAAACTAAAACTTGCCTTGAATGTAATATCAGGTTTTCTTATTTATTTTTGTAAATTTTGAAATGAAGAAAATGGAATTCTAATTAATTAACTATAGTAATCCTTTTTTTTATTGAAAAGAAAAGGATAATGCATGATTATTAATTTGATACAGTAAATCAAAATAATTCTTGAGCTTGTCCTATTGTTCAATAATCGTATAAGCATTCAAAACAATAACATCATATTTTTCAATTCCTCCCTGTCATGTCATCACTTTGCATTTACTAAAAATATATATATAGAATATAATGTATGAAACACAGTTATAATTTGTACGTAGATCCATAAATGCAAAAGAAAATTAAAAAGAGAATTTCTTAACTTACACTAATGTATGAAACGCGGTTAAATTTGTAGATCCATATAATACAATTAAATGCAAAAAAATGAGTTAAGCTAGGTTAAAGGTTAGGGTAATGCATAGTTTATACCTTTTTTGTCAGATAAGCAAAATTTTAAGCATTATATATAAAGTACCCCGTGTTTTATACGTACACTCTATATATAGTTACAAATAGAAATTATTAATACAAAATTTAAATGCAAATTATATACAATAAATCGATGTTATATATATACTAGGTATATTAGGTTAGTAAGCATTCCTGTCGCGTGAAAGCAGGACCGATGATTTTCTGCGATTCTCTTAATCACAGCCAACCACAGAAATTACTCTTAGTCACCGCAGGGAAATGCCGAACCGGGTAAAATTCACCACCCAAATTTATTTCATCATTTCATTACATCATTCTAAGTATGAAAATAATATTCGCTAAAATCATATCGTATGATCTGAAATAAATTTGGGTGGTGAATTTTACCCGGCTGAAATGCCGTAAAGGTAGACAATAAATCAACGTAAATTAATCACATTAAATCACAGAATTTGTCTTAACCACACGCAAAATTTAGTTTTAACCACGTTAATTTTCGTATTACTATGTGGAAAGATCTAGAAACTAAATGTGGTCATATGTTGTTCGCATCGTAGCTAATTATTTTGATTGGATAAAAACAGATACTTTCAACGATTAGTTGCTTCGAAAATTTTAATTGTTTAGTTGCCATCTTGACCAACTCTATACTTGTGTACTTTAACTTGAGTATTAAAAACGGCGCTGATGAATAGTTATAAACCCACTAGCACTTTTGAACAATATAGATCAAATCCAAAATATGAAGAGGTTATAGAAATGGATAACACAAGGTTTATAGAAAATGAAACTTTTCACCAATCGGTATTTATTTGAAAAAGATTTACTGGATCATAAGAGCAATTATTTACCTCATTTACACATTTAATTTTACATAATTAAGGTTTTGATTCAAGAACAGGACGATCAGCTACAATCATTATATGGAACTGCTCGTAATATCCATGATATTGCTACGACAATGAGAGACGAGATTGATGATCAAAATATGTGAGTTATCATTTAATTAGTAAATTATAATTTATAAATTATTCGAATTTACGTTTGTTTATTATAGGTTACTTGATGAGTTTGGGGAGCACACAGATCGTACGTCTAGTAGGTTAGATTATGCCATGAAAAAAGTTAAATATATCATTAAAGCAAATGAAGGTACATTTTCTCTTTCGAGGTATTAGTTTTTGTCAGTTATTTTAATTTACCAACCAATATTGAAATATAATCTTTATTTCAGAGACTAAATCTAATTTTTGCATTGGGATCTTAATCGTAGTTTTAATCATATTATTAATATTAGTTATAGCGATTTAGAGTCTAACATTTTCCGTGCTTGATTTAAGGTGTTCTCAAGCACCTCAATCGAGTGAAATTTTAATTAGTCGGAAATTAAATAAATGAACCAAATGAGTTAGGGCAGTGACAAATATTACGTAATATCCTGAAGGGGTTCTTGGATATCTTATGCTAGAATAAATTTATAAACTAGCCAACCAAAATTTCTCTTACGTGGGGGGGGGGGAGGTATAGTAAAAAAATATTACGTAATATTTGTTATTACCCTTACCATTCCGATGACAAAATCAGGGAGACACAAACCACCTTTTTTCTTCAAAAATTTACATTAATATAGGTTGCTCAAACACTACTTTTACATTTTTTGCATATCGAACATAATAAACAATGAATTCTCAACAAA